CGTCTGGATAGGTGAATAGTCATCGGCCAGATATCCAAATTCCAACATATGTATCAACCAGACAAATGACTCTGCAAAAGCTATTGAGTCACATATCCAACTGACTCGTTCTTAGACAGCTGGACGTCTGGATAGGTGAATAGTCATCGGCCAGATATCCAAATTCCAACATATGTATCAACCAGACAAATGACTCTGCAAAAGCTATTGAGTCACATATCCAACTGACTCGTTCTCAGACAGCTGGACGCCTGGATAGGTGAATAGTCATCGAACAGATATCCAAATTCCGGCATACATACCAGCCAGACATCCGACTCATGAGAACCATTGAGTCAGATATCCAATCGACTCACTTTCAGCAAGCTAGATGTCTGGCTAGATGAAAAGCCATTGACCAGATATCCAGTTTACAACATGTGTATCAGCCAGGCATCCAACTCACACCAAGGTATTGAGTCACATATCCAACTGACTCACTTTCAGCCAGCTGGATGTCTGGATAGATACATAGCCATCGGCCAGATATCCAAATCCCAACATACATACCAGCCAGACATCCGACTCGGGAAAACTATCAAGTCAGATATCCAACCGACTCATTTTCAGCCAGCTGGACGTCTGGATAGATGGATAGTCATTGACCAGATATCCAGTTGACAACATGTGTATCAGCCAGACGTCCAACTTAGACAAATTTATTGAGTCACATATCCAACTGACTCACTTTCAGCCAGCTGGATGTCTGGATAGATGCATAGCTATCGACCAGATATCCAACATTCAACATACATATTAGCCAGACATTCAACTCGGGAAAACTATCAAGTCAGATATCCAACCGACTCATTTTCAGCCAGCTGGACGTCTGGATAGATGGATAGTCATTGACCAGATATCCAGTTGACAACATGTGTATCAGCCAGACGTCCAACTTAGACAAATTTATTGAGTCACATATCTAACCTTATCTTGACTAGCTAAATGGATACCGGGATATGTGCATGAACATCAATGAGATAATCAGGTTATGGAAATTGAAGCAGCTGGATATCCGGTCAGACACCCACCAGATATCCATCAACCTAAGAATAAAATTGCAAGACATCCAGCCGCAGATAGGGACCACAACAAGATGTCTGCACCGTGGAGTTGGGAGAGCCCAGATGTCTGGCAGGAGAGGCCAAGTTCTAAAGTGTCGACAGGACATCTTGTTTAGTAGAGCAATGCCACTTAACCTTGGATGCTAAGACAGAAAGATAGGCCATACTACCAGCCGCATATAAGCTAAACCACCAGACTTCTATAAGGCTCACACCAAATACCAACCACAGCACAGGTACGCACCGGCAATCGGGGAAGTGGCTAGGTGATGGCACAGTTCAAGTTAAACGTACAGTATTTATTATGGTGCCTTCACTTATTGCATTTCACGCCCAAAAGATAAACAGACTCAACTCTTCTCAGAGCTGATTTGCGACATTGCTTTATTGAACAGAAAAAAAGAAAGACAAGACATCAGTGCTACAGTTCTCTTTCTAGTCCTGAGCACGATGTTTCTTATGCGGGCGTGCAATTTCGTTTGCATCACTAGAGGAGGTTGAGACATAACTCCAGATGGAACAAGAGTAAGACATACCGTGAACGCGAACGCGAACGGCGACTGGAAACGTTCATATCAGTTGATCTGAAGACATAGCCTGTGTAAAGAAGTCTCAACATACCGACGATTTGGCGATTGATAACTACATGACGTATGATGAGACTTCAAAATTGATGTAATGAACGTGAAGACTTACTGTTGTACATGCGATTGAGCGTGATGAAGCACTCGAGAATACTCAGATGGCGATCGTTCATTGCAAGGGTAATAGTCGAAACGTTCAAGGCGGCGAGACGAATGCTGGGAGCGAGCAGAAGAAGGCACGCGACGAGGCTGACGACTTGACGGACCGGGGGTGGGTTCACGTTGAGGAGACCTGTACCTTGGCATGTAATAATCGTAACGGTCGTGGCTGCAATGAGAGGGTTAGAACATATACAACTACATGCATTGCAATACTTACTGCTTGGAGTAGCCCCGATAATCCGGCGACGACGACGACCTCAACAGAGAACGGCGACGCTTGTCACGTCCTCGGGCAGACGCCCTCGACGGAGAGCGGTGAAATTTGTCGCGTCCTCCGGCAGCGTTCTCACCATCCCGTCCCCGGCGCGAAGGGGAACTCGACAGACTCCTGCGGGTACGCGAGCGGCCTCTGTCTTTGGCACGCTGAGTACCACCGTCTCGGGAGATCTCCCGAATCGAAGGCGATCGACTTCTACAAGCGCGGGAGTGGCCTTCACCACCGACGCGATGGTCGCCGCCAGCAGCTTCACCTCGAGCCCGCGAGGAGGACAGAGTGAGGCTCCGCGAGCGACTCCTACCTTTATCCACCTCTGCGTGAGACGGCAGGCTATCTTCATCCACCTCTAGAACCTCAGCATGGGGTGACAGCCGCTTTCTCGAGGCCAACGGAGCCGACTTTCCACCCCAGCCGTCGGTCACCACCGGGTCAATTCTCCCGGCACGACCAGCTGGTTTGCCCAAGGCTCCTCTGTTCTGCGAAGGGGGAGGTGGCGTGACTGCTGCCGAACGTTCCACAGACAGAGCTGTGCGCTGCTGGGCTGACGCGCGCGGGATATCCTTTGAACGAGGGAGCCGCATCTGAGGCTCGTCAACTTCGTTCTTGGGTACGTCCGAGTGAGCCTCAGGCTCAGGTGACAGCGTCGACGAGTTAGTTATGCCGGTTTTCTTCAGCTGCCTCTTCATCTCCCTCGTGAGCTGCCTTGCCTTGTTCGACTCCCGTTTCTTCTTGCTCGCGCGCTGACGCTCTTTCTCCCTCTCCACCAGGCGCTCGCGTGTCTTCGCCATTTCCTGTTCTTCTTCCTTGAGTGTATCGCAGGCATATTCATAAAGATTATCCGGCCCCATGACTTTCATCTCGGTCATGAACTTCGAGCTCGATGTGATGAAGCGGACCGGCTCCCCTTCGGTGTTCCGAACAAGGACGATGTCGAAAGCTTCCTCTTTGTGTTCGTCAATCAGAGCCTTATCCTCTATAGCAACGATTAGCAGAGTGAAAAACAGAAAAATGAAACAGACTGACCATCGTCCATAGGGACGAGTTTGAGTGTCTTCTTGTCGGCTTCATCGATGGACATCGACTCTGAGTCCACGTTGACCATGTCGTCCTCTTCTCCACCGGGCTCAGGCACATCGTAGGCATCTCGCATAATCGAACGCATCCATGGGCATACAGCAAGCCTCATCTCCTGCAGGTTCAAGAGACCCGGTGAGAAATCTCCTGGGAGAATGTCGGTGAGGGCCCAGTTGTAAACAACAAGTCGGTGCTTGAACAAGAGGTTGGGCAAGTCGGCCCATTGGATGTGAATATCCTTGTCGGAAGATTCTACCTCGTAAACACCGCGTGCCTTTGTCTTGCGCCGAACTGCTGCCTCGTCGCTAACGCCTGCATCCGCTGGATATCCCGTCAACAGTGTTCGAGAGCACATAAGTCACATACATACCGAGAAGAGTTAGCCACATCCGCGTCCAATTACGCGCAAGGCGCTGAAGCAGCCCGTCCCCCTTCCCTCGCTTTTGCAAAGCACGCGTCAACTCGAGGCGACGGCTTTCGAGTAAAGGTTTCGGGACCTTCCGCTGCATGTTCAACTCTCTATGACTACCCCAATCAATGAATACGTGAGGTTCTTGAAACAGTCAATTTCTCTCACCTGACGAGAGTCTGGACATGGTGCAGTATGCTCTCTATATCCGCGTTGTGCTCGGTTGCCAGTTCATTCAAAAGGTCGTCACCGGACCAAGCGCAAGAATAGTTACGAGGGGCAGCATCGGGCCCAGTGTAGAAAAGAAGGCCCATGACATGGATACCGGTGATTACCTTCCACATACGCGCCTGCAAATAAGTCAATCAGCGAGTTGCCATGATAAGACATGGAATCGACGTACTGCGGCACTGAAGGCATCCCTTGCCCGGTTCATCTGGCTGACCCTGTCCACAGCGTCCATGTTGGCAGGAGATACCTCGTCGTTGTAGTAGATATGAATCTCGTCCCAAATGGGATGCCTCTCGTTGATGCAACGCTGAATTTCGGCTTTGCTAAGCTTTGCAAGATCCTCTGCTGACTTCCCCGACGATATGGCACAGCGGCGCAAGTAGTCCTCGGAACCGCGTAGTGTGTACGCGTCGACCATCTCTGCGTTCGGAACGGGCAGCGCGGGATCATCAATGTCTTCGACGCCAGTCGGTTCTTCTGAGAGTTAAAATTGCGGGTCAGCCAATGTAAGAAAAAATAGCAGGATTGCTCGACCTTCTACAGCGCTGTTCTGGGTACCCCACCACCACTTCTGAAACTTATTCCACATCGACACCTGACGGTAAGGTTTCAACTCCACACCAAGATGTTTCCAGACGTAGTCAGGCCTCTTCTTGATGCGGAAAGCTGAGGTCCAAACGGCCTTCATGATGGTGTGGTCGAGTTCAACAAGATGTTTCTCTTCCTCTGCGCTGAGACGACCGGGTTTGACCGGCCAGTCCACAAACCGGCAGGACATGATCCGTTCTTGACAGGAGCCCACCTCAGGAGGAGGCATGCCGACGAAGATGTCCTCGAGGGTGGGCAATGATTGAGAAGGAGCGGTGTTGGCGCCTGAGGGACGACTAGCACGATTGGTTGCAGCTGGCGTCTCAACCGGCACCTCAGTGGAGGGCAGTGGGGACGGAGCAGAGTCACCGCACGAGGGATTGTCGGTAGGCAGCGATTGAGAAGGGACAGGATACACGTGCAATGGACCATTGGCATGATTAGCTGAGGCCGACATGTTCCTAGCAGAAGGTAACGCGGAAGATGCGGAGCCACCACGAGAGGAATTATTGGTGCCCTTCGTTTGAGCCTTGATCTTCCCGTTGGAGAGACGACGTGAAGCTGCGATATCCTCGGCCTCTTCCCACTCGTCGTCGTCGAGTTCTTCACTGTTGGGTGAAGGTGGGCGTCCCTCGCGGTCATTCTTTTGCGCCTTGTCGATTCTCTTCTGCTTCTCGGTAGCAGAATAGTCGCTGTCATCAACCGAGTCCCCTGTAGATACATGAGCACTTACGGTAATGTAGCATATTGATGGCAAGGTACTCACCATCCACCTGTCCGCCGGATTTTGCTCCCAACTGGGATCCGCCAGCGCTCTTGTCCTCTTCAGCCCCCTGGTCCTCCTCGCTCCCACCATGTTCATCGCCTCCATAAACATCGGGCCTGTGGTTGGATGCTTCTCCGCCGTCGGTTCGATGCGCCCCATGAGGTGGCACGGAGATAGACTCTACGTCGAGCGGGTCTCCAGCGTCCAACATGCGCTCGGCTTCCTCTGCGTCCTCCTCGTCAACCCCTGCTCTTGTAGCTGCAGCAATTGCCAGGCTTGGCTCTTCCAGGCTTGGCTCTTGATCTGGGACCGCGGGCTGAACCACGTCTTCATCAGCATCTCCCTCCGCGTCCTTGTTACCCCAATCCTCCGCGTCCTTGTTACTCTCCGCGTCTTCATCCTCCCCCTCCGCATCCTCGTCTCCCTCCTCCTCTGCGCCATCACGGCAGCTTGGCGACGGCGCGGCGTTGGGATGGCATGGGTTTTCTGCGCAGATACATGAGCATCGATAGGACAGTTAAGATGAACTAGCCTACCTTCGCGAGGGAGGTCGTCGATAGAAGTCGTACCAGTCGTCTTCGTCTTCGACGTAGTTAGGGTCTTTTCTTCGTTGGATTGGCTTGGGCCATGGTCTGTCCTATTGACCTTACCATGTATCAGCAAACATATAATAATATACAGAGATGCCTGCTCACCGTTGCAGGCGGGGGACCCGCCGTTTGAGTAACTTCGGCCTGGACGTTACCCTTCATCGTGTTAACTAGAGCTGACGACTTTATGATGAGAAAGGAATACTTACCTTCTTAGAAGAAACAGACTTTGAAGTGCTCGCTGCCTTCTTGGACCTGGTCGCCTTGGTACCGGTCTGTAAGCGGGATGAGTGCAACAATAGAGAAATGACGACCAAGACATACAAGGGTTCGCGGTATAGGAGGCGGCTTGACGGTGCGGGTCCTGGTGCTACTGCGAGTGGGCGCGGAAGCGGCGGAGGCCGAAGGTGCTGGGTGAGCGGAGGCATCGTTCCTGACCGCAGGCATGGTACGAGGCAGGGTAGAGAAGCGTCGGTGACCGCAATCAACGTAGATCGCGTCGAGCCAGATGACAAACACGTAGTTCGTCAATCGAAAGGGCTCGAACCGGTGTTGTCCGAGATCGGTAAGACAGTCTGCGATGGGTGTGCGAAGCAATAGGTGGAAAACGTGAAGGGAGTGGTTGAGCTCTTATATCCCGTTCGTGAGTGGTCTGTGCGCATACCTGGACCATCCTTTCCCGCTAACCGGTTTACGCGCACGCGCCCGCGACTGAATGATCATATTAGGTTTATGTCACCGACTTCCAAGTCATTCTCACTCACCAAAAGTATCATCACAACGAGGGTCAACGCCGCGCGAGAAGTTCTTAATGACAAATGAGACGCGTGTCTTCCAAACTTAGGTTTATTCCCAAACAACGGTCCGATGGCTAGGGTTCTTCCGCGGTGGTTAGCACCGTGGCTAGCAACTGACTGCTGATGTTGCGACTAAATAAAACATACAAAATTTCTTGCGTCCAGACAAGAACCTGGAGACAATGCATGAACGTGAGGCATGAACTCTCTGACCCCAAGGAACGGACCGAAGACACAAATGCCAATGCCAGTTGGCCTAACGGCCATTGTCATCTGCGAAACGTTCTCCAGCTAGGCCACGAGTCGGCCACGGGTCGGCTCGCTCAGGAAGAATCCATCACTGGGATATTGAGTCCGTGCCATTTGGAGGAAGGCACGCTTCCAAGTAGTCATGCAGAAATGGAGATGCGAACGTACCGGCAAACCTTACCTGTGTAGTGACATAATTGTAGGGGGTTCTGTTTGATAACGGGGAAAACGAATACTATGTCAGTCTCAAGCAGCTCACTTCACGCTGCACAACGGAATTTTAAGTTAACTAGCGACCGAATAATTGACATGTTCGTACCAAGGCAAAACAGCGACAGTTCACTGCGCATACGACCGTGGAATAGAGGTACACGGCGGGCGCTTGCTTAGTTCTAGAGTTCTAGACGCGGTCATATGGACATTGAGCGGGGCGGCGTCTGCTAGTTGGGGTGATAACTTGCGCGGATGCTGTGATTGATTGCGCCGTTCAGGGGGTGACTATGCCAAAGGATGTTCGCAATACCTATTGTAGATTCGTAGACGCGGCAAACTCATTCAAGCCGACCATGGAGCAAACCGGAGATGAATCCTTTGGGGATGTGAGGCAGAAATATTCAAGGCCGACGTACGGACATCAATCATGGACTACGTAAGGAGATAGGGTCCCATCGGTACTACTGCAAGGTACCAGATGAAAGCGGTATCGTCGCCAAGGAAAACACGGGCGACGGAACGTTTGAGCGACAGTGGAACAAGGAGAGGGAGGGAAAATGGCCATAGTCTACAAGTATTCCACGAGGTCGCACGAACGGCATCTTCGAACTGCTTGAGGACATGGAGAGGGAAAGGCGGTGGCATGAGCAGCCGTGGGCAGTGGGATAACGAGCTTGAATACATGTTGCAAGGCAGAAGAGCCAGGGAGGTTACCGTCAGTAATGGGGGTGGTCGGGGCATGCAGAGGGTAGCAAGCGGGCGGACGCCGCCGCCGTGCTTTCGTCCGAGTAGTACGAGCGGGCGGATGACGCCGCCGTGCTTTCGTCCAAGTAATACAGGCGGGCGGACGACGCCGCGGCGCTTTTATTCAAGTGACGTCAGCGAGCGCTAGCAACAGAACGGTGAAGTACATACTGATGCTCGCGCTTAGATTACAGTTCTTAGGCTCCGATATTGAGTTGCTTCGCATGGTACGAAGGGCGTAACGGTGCCATATGCTGAGAAGTCCGATAACGAGTAGGTGCTGTACAGGCAGAGTGGGTGCACAATGAACTAATAAGACTCAATCATCACGCTGCGTGATAAGGAGTGGATGATCATACGCACTGGGTAACGAGACAATGTGCAACCGCGGGACATGAGACATCATGTTTCAACAGCGGCTTTGTGATTCCTGGTCCACGTGAAGCATATGAGCTATGCTAGTTTGGGATCAGCCGAATTATCGCATTGATCTATGTGCCGACTGCCGTAGGGAGAGTCGAAGTACTCACAGCTATGGGTAAGACCGAAGACATGTGCCAAAGGCCGAGTGGGAAACCGAGGACTTGCTAGGATGATGGTCAGTACTATTGAACATTGTGACGCAGCAGAAGTACATTCGTGGTGCGAGCTATGAGGACGATGATCTGTGGAACTCACCATATGCCTGATTGGAGTGAAGGCTGTTGCCAGCGTGAATTGGGAGGACGAACGTTCGGCTGGGGTCCTTGGCGGGGACGATGGGTGTCATTCGAGGCTTTTGCTGAAGAATTTGGTGTCTGAGTTAGAGATGTGCATTTGATTCGCATGGCGGATGGGTTGAGAATAGTCAATCAAACTCACCTGCTTTACTTGTTGGTCGCGCGCTGTGGCAGATGGAAATAAGGTATGTGTCGACGCGGCTTATCCCAGGACTTACATTGGATAGCAACATCTCCGCCACGCTTCAGTGTCTCTCATCTTCCAAGCAAAAATGGTTGACAAAACGATCGTCTCGGGATGACATCTGTGGATGAAATATGCAACAATTGGTCGTCCAATCCTCGCAATGTCGGCGGGTCAGCCGTGTAAGAGGTTGGAGAGGGAATTAAGAGTGCACCGAGCTATCAAAATAAATCGTATTAATTAGGACCCTTCAGAGCGATGTAACGCCTGTTTTTCTAGACTTAACGACATTAGAATCAGCCTATGTGACAGAAGCCAAAATCCCACCGTTTTCCAAAGCGTGCAACGGGGACGCTCATACAACCGGAGTGAGGAGCAATAGACCAACTCACGGACATGGAGTCCGCGTAGATGTACCGGGTTAGCAAGTAGCTTCCCTCGGTAGGAGATGAGCAACTCGTAGTTGCCCTTAGGTATGGACGGTAGTTGAGGAGGGGCCATTGACGAGAGCAGTGTTGCGGAAGTGGAATCAAAAGCTGGGCGACGAGCACCGAGAGAGGGAAACGGAGGAACGTCGACCAACAAGGAGGGGAGACGTGAAGGAAGCAGCGCGAGAAAGAGAGCTGGATATGTGGCCTTATAAGTAATGAGCCACATATCCAACTCCGGCTTCCGCATATGGTAGGTCCGCATAGCAACTAACCAAAAATGGAAGCTGACACGAGGCAAATTCAAGGCCCGCAAGTCGTGTGAACTTCCCTTGGCATCGAAGCGAACAATTTCTCTGCTTTCTCCCATTAACCCCCACCACCAAGTCGCTAGCCCATCGCTGCCTCCAGTAAGTACCCGCCCTTGTGTTCGCTCCGGCTGTCGTACTAACATGAAGGTCCTGTAGATCTATCCTCCTAGAGAAGCTCCCCCTCGAAGGTAAGCCCTTTCTTGCATCGACGCGTCCATCCTCTAACACCGCACATCGTCCTACAGGCACCTTTGGTCTCACCGCGCGAAGGTAAGCCGTCATCGTACCTTCGGAGGCCTGGTAATTGATGCCGTTCTTTTTCTGCGAGAAGTCCATCGCATCTGTCTCCGTCCCAAGTAAGTCCCCGCAGTCTCTCTTCGTGAGACGCCACTGATTCTCCGCCTTATGCAGGCCTTTAGTAGGTAGGTCCTCTTTTCGTCCTCCATTGCTTTTGCCTGCGTTCTTCTCTTCGTGCAACTACGTGTTGTACACAAATTGGCCATGGCGCTACGCGCGTCCATGTCATTTGCCCCTCTGACTTCGCGTTCTGAGGATTTTGTAGACACGTAAATAGTGACATTCGACGTTTCTTGTATATGATATAGATTCACGTTCAGCACGCATCCGCTATTGCAGCTTGCCTTGCGCACCAGGACACATCGTATAAGGACATCTCACCATCGTCAGCAGCCCAAGGTGATACTCTCCTCATCGTCTTTTGCATCCTTGTTACTGATGTTCCTTATTTTATTTTTCCTCTTTTTTTTCGACGGTCGCTCAGATGGGATCAGTAGGATCCGAAATTGCCGACCTCCACGAGTTGTTCCCCGTCTCTGAATACCCGTATCCGGGCGACAACGGTGAGCACAACGTGTTCTTTCATAGGCCGTTATCCTCAATAACTTCTACGCTTAGAGAGCTTGTCTTTTTCCGACGCGGCCGCCATGGGCAAGTTCCGAGAATTCATTATCACGTCCCCCAACATGGAGGAGATCTATGAGCCCTTCGTGTTCGAAGCAGAGGAAGTCAAGGTTCGCGCCGACGGTCGTTTTGGGGTCATAGACCCATTCCAGTGGCCCCAGCTCTACTCCCAGCGATTCGAGTTTGCGGTCTGTATCCAGCGCAAGGACGTGTTCTACGCCAACGAAGTGAAGTGGGCTGCCTGGCAACACCTACACCCCGACGACATCACCAAAGTCCCCGGGCAGCCACATCTCCATCAGCTCAAGCACGGTCGGTACGACCGCCTCTGTGAACTTGTGAACCAGGTCGTGGAGACGGTGACCCATTGGATCCAAGTAGAACGCGGTGGTCGTCCCCATCGAATCGCACATGCACTTCGCAAGCTGCGCAATGCACTCCAGCAACTCAACTCCCCCATGCTCCGACGTGACATAGTCGCCCTATACGCTGAAGTTCAGCGTGGTTACCTCAGCATCAGCGCCTTCTTTTCCTATCTGCGAGACGCATACCCTATCATGCGGAATCCTGACTTCTACCCTGCACACGTCAACAGGCGGTGGATGGGTGCATTCACAACAGACCCTGTTGTATGCGAGCGTCTGTACTTGGCTGGCGTCCCAGTTTGGTTTATCCGCCTCAAGTCCCAGATTCCACGTAACATCAAGATTAAACGCCGGGTCGCATTGACTCATCCTGAACATATTGTACGGATCAACTACTACGACGAGCGCGCGCATATGCACCCTTTCCCTCCTCTTTGCCTCCCCATCAAAGCTTGTGACGATCGAATCAACCAAGTGCTTCAAGGTTACGAGGCAACTAGCTTGGAAGGCGTTATGCAGCTTCAGGAGCTCCCTGCGCAGGGCGCGCCAGGATACGGGGGCAACAAGCGATATAAGGTCCAGGGACGTCACGCCGACAAGACATTCTGTTAGTTTTACTTCTCATTTTACACTACTATGTTGATCGCTCATTATTTTCCTTTGGCAGCAACTCGCACTACTTGGTATGTGGTGGCGAACGAATATACACCGCACGTACCCAGCCTCTGGTCAAACGCTCTGGAGACGGTTCTTCTGAATCATCAGCGGCAGGAGGATATACGAAAGTCAAAAAACCAGCCTGCCTTCCGACCGACCGATCTTGTCTCGCATGGACATCGCTTCCCGGACCCTTGCTCATTGGTCACGATGGACGACCCCGAGCGGATGACTCGCATGATTGTTAACTGGCTCCAAGTCCGTAATCGACGTATCTCAGACGTCAATCAGAACCCCTTCGTATCCCAGCCAACGGGTCAACACTGGCGTGATCTCCTCGACGGCAAGATCATGGACAACCTTCCCCAGTCCCAGAATAAGAAGCAGGACAAGAAACGAAAGGACCGCGAGAAGGGCAGAGAGCGGTTTGGCCGTGACGTCATCACTATCCCGCAATCTGGCAGCTTCTGGGAGGAGAACGATACGATAACCTGGCAAGGAACCGTCCTTCGGCCAATCGATCTGGCGAACGAGCATCATTGGGTGAAGATGATTGTATGGGAAGCCGCCGAGCTCAACTTCCGGTTCGAGCTTCTTGCGCTCGACCATGTCATGGCCCAGTCCTTGTGGGCTCGCGATCCTGAGGGTCGCAAGCGGGAGGTGTCTGCAGTGTTCCCCGGGCACGGTGGATTGACACGGCAGGGCCAGTTCTTGCCTGACACAGAAAAGGATGTTGGACTCAGTAGCCGTCACCCGTCAGCTGCCTCCGAAGCTTGGGAGAAGCTAAGAGTGCTGATTTCTGTGTGGGAGGGGGCTAGTCAGTATCCCCCCATCGCGTGCAAGACGCTCGCGGACTTGTCCGCGGCGGCTTCGCCGGTTGCGCGCGCTTACATCGAGGCCTTCCACTACCAAACAGGCAGGGCCCCCATTGTACCATTCGCGTTCCCGTTCCCTTGAGGAGGCGCTCTGGTCCACTGTCGCTGTTTCTGATCTCGATGTTGTCATATGCTTGTTGTTCGCATTCCTTGCTTCATTAGTTTTCATTCTACATACATACTACGTACGCCATTGCCATTATTTACTTCGTTTCTGGATAATCATCGCGGACTTCTTGTAATACAATGTTTCAGTGCTTTCTCCCTTGACAATCCATGAACTGGACTTATGAATATGCGATCGCTGATTATTACTTTACAGTAATGGCAATACGTCGACCTACTCGCCCTAGCAAGAATAAACGGCCTCACGCCGTCGCAAATCGGCATCGGAGTGCCCACCCTTCGTCATCCCATATTCAAACACAGCATACCTATGTCAGAGATGATGAAGCCCCCTCTCGTACCGCTAGAACACGCGCCGGTCCCTCGCTTCTGATTCCACCTGTGCATCGACCACTCGTAATTGGTCGAAACATTCAGTTCATCCAACGCAATGTTCCTCAATACCAGCGTGATGGCGAGCAGATCCCGGCTTCTACCAGTACTTCGCCAGGAAAAGCGACCGGGTCTGCGACAGTGCAATTCGATTCCATGCCAGACCTTGATCCTCCTCCTCGCACTTACCTGTCGACGTCTCATAAACGTCAAAACCAATGGCAACGGTGGTCGAATGACGTCATCCCGCTCCTCATAGATATATACGCCAATTACATGGCAGGGACAGATGGTCTTCGCAATCCCACTGCATTAGACATGGACCCCAATAGTGATGTGACCTGTTCTTGTCGCAAACGGGTCATCCCAGTCTTATGTTTATCATTCGATTGTACGTCCTTGATTTCACTGACGTCTCTCAAGACACTGACGAGATTGTTCCCTTGTAGCTTTGACGCGCCTTCATCTGCCTATCTGCCAGTGTCGGTCTGCCCCTGTTCGCCTGCTTGCAAAAGGGTTTTTTGCATGCGCCCCGTTGACCCCTTCCATGGCAGTCGATATCTGTTTGCTAGAATTCGTACGGCTTCTCTTCACGAGACTCATGCCAAACACAACCGGGTGGTGCGAGGCGTTGGAAGCGTTCATGTTTGGTCTTCGTTACAAGCTAGAAACCCGGGTACGTAAAGTGCAATTGCGCTATAGTATATCGTGCTCATTTCGAACAGGAGAACCTTCGGAGGCGGTTCGCCAATGCCCTCCACTGGTACTCAATCCTCCGGCTTTCAACTCGAGATGCTGTCAACCGCTTGATCAACGGCTATAGGCCGTCACTTCCTCCTAACGCACCGTCGGCATATCTTCGGTCTCGCTGTCCCCTTTGCTTTGATGGATCAGTGACGCGCGTGGAAGGGGAGCCCGATTACATTGTGTGTCTAGATGCATGTTTTACACAGAAGCGTACTCGCAATCCTCGCCAAGCAGATACGGACGATCCAGGTAATCCTACTGACACTTTTTTCTTAACCAAAGGTGAAGTTTCGGCCATGGAAGAACGTGTGGAATCTCTTCGCCCGACGCGTTCTCAAGGGAAGGGTACCGTGGCGCCCTCTAACGATAAACTTGAAGAGGGTATGCGAGTCCCTACTTCGGTTTTGGATGGGTGTAATGACGCCTTTGTGGCGGCTGATGAAAAACGAACAAAGGCCAGTACCCGCCTTTTTGCCGATACCGGACTCATGGCGCTGGTTTGTAGGCATGATCGGGTCCTATGGTTCTGCAATATGACGTCGCCCGGGGAGAAACAACATTACGCCCTCGCGCTCCTTGAGAAGCTGTTCAAGCATCTCCCTGCAAAGAGCACCGTCGGCGCACTTTATGACGTTGCTTGTCAGTTAGAGAGAAGTTGTCGCAAGTTTGGACTCCTTCCCGCAGACATCCTGTCGAGGTTGTCCTTCGCAGTGTCTGTATTCCATGCCTACGGTCATCAGTGGCCATGTCAGCTCGTTTATCATCCACGCAAGCGAGACGGGTTTGGTTTCTCAGACGGAGAAGGTTGTGAAAGACTTTGGAGCGCTCTCAAGTTCCTTATCTCTGTCTTGCGAGTTTCTGGAGTAAGTTTTGTTGGATATGGTTAGCTATGACACTCATTGGCACTATCTAGTTCAATCAACGTCTCTTCGTGCTTGACAACCAAGTCAGACATCTCGACGAAAAACTTGCGCTTAAGTACGGCGAATGGTTACGCACAAAGTGGGCCAACTGCCAGTCAAGGAAGGCGCATGCTCTCGCGGGTGTACTAGCGTCGAGGAAGACCCGTGCGCAGCTGAGCGCAGCGTGGATGGATCAGGTCCAGTATCAGACACGACCACTCCCTCGTAAGCCCTTCATTTTTCTGATTTTTTTCGGCCGTGACTAATTTTCGTGTAATAAAGGAAATGTTCGTGCTGCGTATGAAGCAGACTTCGCGAAGCTTCTGGCGCTCGAGAACACCGTAAAGACGCACAAAGCAGATGTCCAAGCTTTGGAGCGCTGGCTCGTCTCCGATAGCGCCGGAGATCCAGTCGACATCAATACTCAGCTGATGACGGCTCGGGACTCGCTCACCAAGTCAACTGAAACCTTGCGTCGTCGAGTCGCATCTCTCGGCGCCCCGGCTCGTACTGAGTTTCGCAAGCTGAAGAATGACGTGTATCTTCAAGCGCGTATGGAAGCTCTCGCCATCAAGACTCGTATCCGCGAACGCTTGCGCCAACGCAAGTTTGAGATGTCGAGGGTTGTTGATAGACCTTATCGCCCATCACATAACGGTGCGTCAGCTCCTCCTCACTTTAACTATCATTTACTTATCTACGCATCTGCAGAGGATAACCTTGCTATGAACATTGAAACGTCACTGAAGAAACGAGAGCCCGCTATCAAACGTTTAGTCACGCGCTACAATTCGCTATGCTCCGACCTTGAGCGGATGATAAAGGTTGGCAAGGCACCCCGCGGAAGTAAGCCGCCCTCGCGGCTGGTCACCGAATCCATATGGAACCTGGACGTTGACGACGATATATGGAGGGATGTAGGGTTAATTGAAGACCTTGAGGCCCCGCCGGACTGGCTCTCAAGCGAACAAGTTCGATCAGGGATCCGCTCGGCCTTGGAGCTAGCCCGGTGTGAAGAGGAAGAGCGCAGGCTATTGCGCGAACGCGACGGCATGCAGATATGGTTTGCTGATGAATGGAAGGCGGTCAATGATGCATGCGCGAGTCCTGGTGCGTTTCACGGCAACAACTCTAGTTCTCATATAATTTAATACCATCTTCGTAGATTCCCACATGCATCACTTCTTCCGACGCCAAAAGGCTGAGTTGACGCTGTTATATTCTGAGTGGGAGCCTAAGGTACGCCATATCCCATCTAAGGTGTCGGCACCATGGGGCCCTAGTGCCGAGGATATTGCAAGAGTGCAGGAAGACGTTTTCTTACCAGAAGTTGGAGATCCCGAATTGAGGGAAACGCTACAGGGTGGGGGAGACAAACCAAGTGACGAGCAATGCGGTGAGGATGAGGATGGAGATGAGGATGGCGAGGGTGAGGGCGAGGGTGAGGGCGAGGGCGAGGGCGAGGGTGAGGGCGAGGGCGAGGGTGAAGGCGAGGAGGACGGTAATATGTTTAGTGTTGATGATGAGGATGGGGATGACGGGTGGGAGGATGACATGGACATGGACCAAGGTGATGCCATTGCCGCGCTGGAAGATATGGCAATTATAAAGGAGTTTGAGATGGATGACTCGGACGAGGATTTCTTCGAAGAGGCTAATCCTGCCTTCTTGCCTTCGTCTCCTATTCTACCTTCTAGAAAGCGGATGAGAACCTAATGCATTCATTTGTCTTGCTTGCATGAAATCTGCGAGTTCTCTGCATTCAATGCCAATCTGAGCATCAGACATGACTTCAAAGACAAGACTAGCTTTGGAATATTCTGTGAAGTGACCATGCTAAACATGCATGCGTGGAATACAGAAATCCACATATCTGGGACTCCTCGCCTCGTTTCCATGAACAACAACATATGTGGATGAGCATGTACTACTCACCATACATCTGGAAAATATCCGTCAATGCTCAGCTAGTTATCTCGTATGTAGTGGATGTCCATCCACATGCCTTGTTGACGAACACCTTGTTGGCCAGACACCTACTTGACGGTGGGCAACCGTCCATATATCTTGCTTGTACCACTGGTGCATCCTCCATATATCTGGTATATCTAGTATATTGCCCACCGGATATCTGGTCCGCAGTCAGTAATGGTCTAGACATTGTGTTGACCACATATGTTCCCGACATACATGTGGTTCAGGATTATAGCCTGTCCATATGTCTCGCCTATCAGGGACTTTGTAAGCTTGTTATATGATATACCGGTGGTGATGTCATGTCAATATATCAGGTATGTATGATCAGCACAACAAGATATCTGGCCCCAGCAGAATGATATTCATTAACCTTGCTTTCTTGCTGAAACAGGAGGTACTTAACCAAATCAAAGCCAATAACGCGAAATAGTTTTCAGTATACAATGTTATGAACTGATTAATAGATCAATTCATATACTCTTATCCTCTACCCACACTTTACCTGATCAATGAAACTAGATGAACAGTCTCAGTACTGATCCTTCTGATGCATGTCAGCTGGATTCATGGCATATATATATATATATTACCAGTGTCCTACAATAATAAAATAAAATATCAAAGTGGCTCACAAGCCATAGTCTCCATGACCATAGCCTCCATAGGCTCCTTGCATTCTATCTGAGTAATGCCAGCATAATGTTATACTGGATTATATCACCATGGGTATAGCACAGGAATGGACCCAGTGACAATAACACACCCAATCAATGTGATGCCCTAATTCAAAGTTTTTAATTTACCAGCACAGCTACTTGCTAAGACCTAGAAGACAGCTTAATAGTTATTAATTCAGGCTCCTGGCAATGTAGGAGCTAAAAAGAAGCTGCCAGACCGTCAATAAAGTGCTCAGATGAAGCCCCTTTCAAGCTATATTGACCCCGGACACCCTGTGACCTGTCACAGACTTGGCACTGGCAAGATATCCAGTACCGAGTGGGCCAGATGGGCCCAGGCTACCAAGATATCTTGACGACTGACGAGTTAGATGACTGGTGTCATACCCCACATGTACCGGACATGTGGGGAGAGAGACCCTACCTACCAGATAACTGTACCATCAAACCCCCTCACAGGCCCAATTAATTGGTGGGAGGAATTATCCCTAAGAGGCCCGAGATATGGGGTGACTGAAGTGGTGCAGTGGTATCTATAGATGGTGTCAGATTTACGTCTAGTATTCGACCCTTTACGGCTTTATTGGTTCATCCAGAAGCCTCCTGTACGGCGATGTTCCTCTACGAGGTCTACAAGTAAACACCGCCTTCATACGTCTATTCTGGCGCTAGGTATCCCATTGGTACTTTTAGCGCTTACGCATTCGTGTGGCTCCGCGTTCATCGCATAAGGGCCACGTTCATTGCTTACGTAGCCGTCCCGCATTACCGTGGGACTTGGACTGCATAGTAGTTACGAATACAGTAGTGACTTCACACGCTCCTGTCATATATATACAGTCGCTACCATGAATATCATCTAAGTCTTCTCTCTCCACCGAACGACTACTATCGTCAGCCTACCAGCTACCAAGCTACTAACTCAACCTTCAACACTAACTGCCCGGTGAGTTCGCGCTCTCATAGACTTCCTAGCTATACTCGCGATCGTCCTTTGTCAGGTTATGAGCCCCGCGGGGCGCGGCGGAGCCTAGTACCTCAAGGCGGCTTAGTATGCCA